AAATCTTTAGTAGAGAAAGTTATCAGTATCCTTCTGTCAACATTGACATTGTCAGCAGCCGTTGATACAACAGTCAAATCGTTATGTAAATAATATCTTGTTGGAAACTTACCTCATCGATTGTTTCTTGGATCTGTCTTTCGAGATCTTCTGGAATAATTTTACCGAGTTCATCAGTTTTGACCAATTTGACATTGTCATCTCCGAATCCTAATAGATAACCTGCCTTCTTTATGGAGTAATGAGCCAGTTCAGAAGTATATATCACTAGTGGAGGTAGACCAAACATGCCAGTTTTCTTGGTTTGAGGGAACATGAAGTGCCTAGCACAGTTGACAGCCATGATATTGGAGAGGGAACCACCTGGACAGAAGATACCATTACCCTCTGTATAACCAATACATGTTCTCATCGTTTTCAATACAGTTTCCTCCATCAGAGTAAAAACTGGTGCCGTCTCGTATGTATATTGACTAGTATTCAAAGCATCGGTGACGATCTGTCCTGCTAAACCATAGGGATCAAGACTAGAAAAAAGTTGATTGACAAATCGAGGATGACCAGTTTTGACGCTGTACTTGATGATGTCTTGAAGACGCATCAACAGCTTTTCATGAGTCTCTCCCACTGCGGTTGGGTCAAGGTCCATCAATTCTCTTAATTCTTCAGGAGCTTTCCATTCCACGACCTTCTGACTCCTATCGCCAGCCTTTTGGACAATTTCCTTCATGATCAAATCGAATGTGTCACTGAGGAAATCATCGTGATGAACCTGAGGAATAGTTAAGAACTTGGCTTTGGTTGACTTTCTACGACTATTCACACGTTGAGAATGTTGCAGTTGTGTGGTGCAAGTTTCTACGTTTGATTCATCGGGATCCGACTCATCAGTGTTGGCAGAAGAATCCTGTAAGCTGAGGGCACTGTCTTCAGACTCGCTATCAACATCAATCATGACCTTGCTAACTTGTTTGGATTTCAGAGACTTGCCTTCAAGTAGGCGTTGTTTTAATTCGTTGAATTGCTCCTTTGTAGCCTCGTCTGTAAAATATAAGAAATGCAATATAAAAGCCTGGAATAAGGGAGTTAAAGAGTTTTCTTTTGTCTGCTTATTCAGAAGGAAAACCTGGTGCAGTTTTTATAATGACATTATTATATACGAATCTTGTCTAGCCTGTAATATATCGGTGTCATATGGTACAACAATTATCTTGTTACTCGCTAATTTACTAGCCACGACAGACGTTGAACTAACTGATGTTAGATACAACCAATCGATAACAATATTGATTTGCCACGACTGTGTGAATCATGTCTTGAATCCTACGCTATATTATAATCAAAATGTAGGAATTAACCTTGGTTTCTGGAACTTTCGACAAGACATTAAGTATATGAGTGAAATGATTTCCCACACATATATCTGTGGCCATTGGAGAGAAAACAATGTTTTCTACGGTTGAAGCTCTTAAGAGTTGTAAATCCTATATTTTCTCTTTTTTAATGTAGGGCTTTAGTTCTATGGGATTGGTCTATTTCAGAACTGAATTACTGTTCACATTAGTAATCTAGGTAATTGTTCACTAGTAGAAATGTCTATCCTAGTAACAATTACG